CCAGCGCGTGGGCCCCAGCTCGCCCTGTGCAGGTCCCAGCAAGCAGGGCCCGCGTGCCGGGGCTTAGCGCCCCTGAGCCTGGAGCCTCTGCATCTGCAGGATCTGGCTCAGAATCCGCTGCACATCTTCATCCATCTGGCCCTGCAGGGGGACAGAGGGGGAGCCTGGGCGCCCTGCCACGGTACAGACGGGGCAACGGGGGGCCAGAGAGCAGCCGGGGGATGGCCAGAGCCAGGGCTGACTCACCTGGATGGCGTGTAGGAGGTGGCTCCGATACAAGGCCACCACTGCGCTGTGCTCCCTGGCAGCTTCCTGTGGATGTGGGGGGTGGGCCCTCAGCAAAGCAAGACACCCCAAGGTGCCAAAGTGCCCCCTGCAGACCCTGAGCCCCTATGTCGAGGGCATGGACCAGTGAGACAGTGCCAGTTGACAAAATACTGCAATGTTTCCCTCCCGTGCCTGGCACATGTGCCCCAGGTGCCTGCGTGCCCCCAGCCCTCTCCGGGGTCTCTGTGGGCCCGGTGCGGCTCTCACCTCCAGCTGCCCCTGCAGGGCCTCCACCTGGCCGCGGAGGGCCTCCACCTCGGAGCTGCCCGGGACTGCTGGCTGGTCCTTCAGCGCCTCCTTAAGACTGAAGACCTCCTTGGAGAGCTCTGTGATCTGGGAGGGGTGGGGGGGGAGGGGTCACCCTGGTGACCCCGAGCTCAGGGCTGGGGCAGCAGGGGTGAGAGAGGTGGGACAGAGGCTTGCGAGGGAAGGTCACATCCGACCTAGACCCTGTCTAGAGACTAGCAAACTGGCCCTCAGGCTAAGAATGGTTGTCATCGTTTTAAATGGCTGGATCAAAAGTCAAAAAGAGAACGCTATTTTCTGACACGTGAAAATTAGATAAAATCCACACTTCCGTGTTCACACGTAAAATTGAATTGGTGCATGGCCACGCCCATTCGTATTCATGTCACCTATGGCTTCTCCTGCAATGGCAGACCTGAGCCCAAAACGCTGCCTATCGGGTCCGTTACAGTAAAGTTTGCGGATCCTGCCACACCCGCTCCTGGAGTCTGGAAAGGAAGGCTGGTGGGACAGGGCGGGAAGCCGGTGCGGCTGTCAGACAGCCTGGGGTTGGGTCCCTCTCTATCCCTTTCTCTAAGGAGATCTTGGGAAGAGGACTCAACCCCTCTGAGCCCAGTTTCCTCATCTGTAAGGAGAATCATGGTTCCCACCAGTTCACTGATTCCAAACAGTGACTAAGTTTAACCATTGGTACGCCATAAGCGTCTTTAAATGCATGCGGTGGACCTTTTTTCATTAAATTCAAAATATCGTGGCAGTTAACTGGCTAAACTGCTTGGCAAAGAGCAGGCACTCAATAATGCTAAACTTCATCATTATTCCTATGGATAAAGGTTCTCATCAGAGGCCATGCTGCCCCCAGAGGACACTGGGCAATGTCTGGAGTGCTCCTGGCATCAAGTGGGTGGGGCCAGGGATGCTGCTCAACAACCCATAGTGCCCAAGACAGCCCCCCACAAAGAGTGACCTGCCCCTTAATGCCACTAGTGCTGAGAAAGAGAAACTCTGATACAAATAAAGCATAATCCCTATTACAGCTTTATCTTCATTTTACAGATGTGAAAACTAGGCTCAGAGAGGTCAAGGGACTTATCCAAGGTCACACAGCAAGTCCTATCTGGGTGACTCTTTGTACTAAAGCCCTTGGGGCTCTGAGGGTCACATTCACTATCCAGTGACATGCTGTGTAACTTTGAGCCATTCACTTTGTCTCTCAGCGCCTCAGTTTACTCATCTGGAAGATGAAGATAAAAATGCTTTCTGGCTCTTAGGGTTGTGAGATTAAAAGTGACGATGTGTGAAAAACAGCTGAGTAATAACCAGAGGCCTCCGATATCATTATTCTTACTATTTAAGAAAAGAACTTGGGGCCCTAACCGGTTTGGCTCAGTGGATAGAGCGTTGGCCTGCGGACTGAAGGGTCCCAGGTTCGATTCCGGTCAAGGGCATGTACCTTGGTTGCGGGCACATCCCCAGTAGGGAGTGTGCAGGAGGCAGCTGATCGATGTTTCTCTCTCATGGATGCTTCTAGCTCTCTATCTCTCTCCCTTCCTCTCTGTAAAAAATCAATAAAATATATTTTTTTTTTAAAAAGAAAAGAACTTTGGAACTTGGGTTTGAGCCCTGGAAGAATCACTGCACAGCTGTGTGACTATGGGCAAGTGGCTTCATCTCTCTGTGCCTCAGTTTCCTCAAATGGGACAATAAAAACAGCCATCTTATTGGAACTTAATGCGAGGATTAAATGCATTGATCCATATTGAATGCACAGCACAGGGCCTGACATGCAATAAGCAGCCAATAAATGTTACTGTGGCCCTAGCCGGTTTGGTTCAGTGGATAGAGCGTCGGCCTGCGGACTCAAGGGTCCCAGGTTTGATTCTGGTCAGGGGCATGTACCTTGGTTGCGGGCACGTCCCCAGTTGGGGGATGTGCGGGGGGCAGCTGATCGATGTTTCTCTCTCATCGATGTTTCTGGCTCTCTGTCCCTCTCCCTGCCTCTCTGTAAAAAGTCAATAAAATATATTTTTTTAAAAAATGTTACTGTGCAAGTAATTAGTAATCGGATCAGTAGCCTGTGTGTCCGAGTTGTCCCCTTCCTTCTCTGTCTGTCTCCTCTCTGGAAAATGGGCTCATTTCCCAGAACCCTTTCAGCTGGGACATTCTTAGATGCCCCCCAATCTCCACTGAGTGGGGACCTCCAACGAAGCACAGGAAAAGGAGACCCACCTTCTTGTCCTTCTCTCTGGCCCTGTCCAGGGCCTCCTGCGCGCGGCTCTGGGCCTGGCGGGCCTTCTCAGCCTCTGTGCGCAGCCCGCGCAACTGCTGCTCTGCCGTGGCCAGCTGGGCCTCAGCTGCGTGCCGCTCGCTCTTCATGAATAGGGCCTCGCGCTGCACCTGTGGCCCAAGCCCACGTGTGACCCTGAGGACACTTGGACCCCAAAGATGCCTGAACCCCAGACTTCCTCTGACCCTCTATTTTGTCCTGAGGACCTTCAAGCCCATTTTGACCTCGAGGAGTTTGATTCAGGGAAGTCCCAACCCCACAGGGCATTATAAACATTCTGACCCTGCCAAAGACCTCTGATCTGCTAGCTGTGTGGCCTTAGACAAGGGACTTAACCTCTCTGTGCCTCAGATTCCTCATATGTGAAATGAAAATAATAACAGCTCCCCACTTCATAGGGTGGTTGTGAGGATAAAATGAGCAAGTGCATGGAATACAATTAGAACCGTGTCTGGCACATATAAGTGCTATATTCGAATTGGTGGTGTTATTACCACTAATGTTCTTTTCTCTGCTAGTGGTTGAAGGTTTGTAGATTTCTTAGAAAATGAAAGAAAACTAGAAGAATTTGGATGAAAAGCAAACAGATGTTCAAAAGTTGATGACTGCATTTTCACAAAAATATCAAGATCAGAGCAATGTGAGATTTGCAAAAATCGATCCTAGAGGGAACACTGACCTTTATAGAAATAACAGCTCCGGGGAAAAGTGGATACTAACTAGATGTTTCAATTAGTATAGATTGGCACACATTAACTATTTAAATAAATCCTAAACCGATTGATAAATCAAATCAGACTTGTAAAGTTTACCCAAAAAAGAAGTGATCACAAGGAAGGTAAAATTGCAAAGACATCCATGAAGATGGTTATACTTAGGTTGGACTGTGACCAAGGGTTTAACTGGTTTAAAAGAGGGATTTCTTCTGGCTGATGGTTGAGCATCGTCCCATGAACCAAGAGGTCACTGGTTCAATTCCTGATCAGGGCACATGCCCGGGTTGCAGACTCAATCCCCAGGAGGGGCCGTGCAGGAGGCAGCTGATCAATGATGTTTTTCTCTCATCAATGTTTCTATCTCTCTATCCCTCTCCCTTCCTCTCTCTCTGAAAAGCAATAAAGGGGTAAAATAAATTTTTAAAAAGGGTGTTCGCCCTGGCTGGTTTGGCTCAGTGGATAGAGCATCGGCTTGTGGATGAAGGGCCCCAGGTTCAATTCCAGTCAAGGGCACATGCCCAGGTTGCAGGCTTGATCCCCAGTAGGGGGCATGCAAGAGGCAGCCGATCAATGGTTCTCATCATTGATGTTTCTATCAATCTCTCCCTCTCCCTTCCTCACTGAAATCAATAAAAAAATATATTTTTTTAAAAAGAGGTTGTTCTTGGAGAAAGAATAATTCTGGCTGTCATTTATAGATTGCTTGTACCATCACTGTCCTAAGTAGCTAACATAAATTAAACCACTTAATTTCCATGTGAGGACTAGGAATTATTATCTCCGTTATACGGGCAAGTTAACAGAAGCTCAGAGAGGAAAATGCTTTCCTGACAAGTAATGAATGTAGCTTCTTATTTACATATTTGTTAAAACAGTTCCCAGTTTTGTTTAATTTAAGAAAAAAGATGGAGTCCACCATCAGGGACAAAATGAATAACAAACAAACAAAAACCTCAGCATAAAAATCTACTGGATTAAAAATTAGATTAACAATCCCTGTGCACGAGTTCCTCCTCCAGAAGGGGTTAAAGCATCAAAATGACCATAAGATAAAATGACACTCTCAAAAGAGCCAGTTGGGGAAAAAAAAACATAGGGTCATTTTGACCAGCAGAGAAAAATGGACATTTGGTAAAAACATCAGGGTAAAACCCCCAACCTAGAAACACTGTCAGGGGCTAGTGTCTATAGGATTGAAATCTATGGGGTTGAAACATCCTTTGGCTGCAGGGTCAAAACAGATGGCTGCTAGGTGTGCCTGGGAGGGGCTCGGCCATGCTCACCTGGAAGACCTCAGCACTGGTCTTTTCGTGGCGGCGTCCTAGTTCCTCCAGCTGCCCCTGCAGCCGGGCCACGTCGGCCTGAAGTGCACCCACTATGCGCTCGTGCTCCAAGCGGGACACACTGCCCACTCGCTCCCGCTCTAGCTCTGCCCGCAGCCGGGCAGCCTCCTTGCCCGTGGCCACCACCTCCTGCTCCAGGCTGGCCGCCCGGCCCCGCAGCTCAAGGGCCTCCTCCTGCAGCCGGTGATGTTCCGAGGCTGGCACTGCTGACTGGCGGAGCACCTCTGAGGCCTCGCGCAGCTCTGCCAGGCCCCGCCGAGCCTCCTCGCAGGCCTCGGCCAGCTCAGCAGCCCGGGCCTCTGCTGCTTCCCGCGCTTGGCTCAGCTCAGCGGCAGCTGCCCGCTGTTGTTCCTCAGTGGCCGTGGAAGTGGCCAGCTGCTCCCGTAGCACCTCCAGCTCCCGGATTTGCTCCAGCCTCACCTCCTCCCGCTGGGCCAGCTCTGCCCGCAGGCCCCGTCCCGGTCTCGGAGGTCCTCCCGGGCCTGCTCCAGGGCTGCCCGCAGTTGGACCATGTCACCACTGCCACCACCAACAGCCTCACCCCCCCGCTCCGGCAGCCGGTCAGTCTCAGCCTCCGTGGCCTCCCACTTGCCACGGGCTGCCTCCAGCTCGGTGACTGCCTCCCGCTCCCGCTGCCACAGGGCCTCCTCCAAGCCACGAATCCTAGTCTCCAGTTCGGTTTGCAGCTTTTCCGAGGCCTCGGCAGCACCAGGGTGTAGGACGGGGCCAGTGGGGACACTAGGGGTGGTGGCCTCCACTCCCGTGGCCTCCACATTTGTGGTCTCTGTGCCTCTGAGCTCTCCTTCCACTTCACTCACTCCATTGGCCTTCATTTCTGGTTCCTCTGCTTTCATATTTGTGGCCTCTGCTCCCGTGGCCTGTGCTTCCAGGTTTCCTCCTCCTCCTAGAGCGTTCGTTTCTGTGGCCTCAGCCCCTGTGGCCTTTGTTTCCAAAGCCTCGGCTCCCGCGCCCTCTGTTTCCATGGCCTGATTGTCCGTGGGTTTAGTTTCCATGACCTCGGTCCCTGTGGACGCTGCTTCCAAAGTCCTGGCTTCCGTGGTTCCAGCTTCTGCAGCCTCATCATCTGTGGCCTCAGCTCCATTCACTTTTGTTTCTGGAACCACGATGCCATCAATCTCCATTTCCGTTGGGCCATTTTGGGTGGTCTTGGCTCCTGTGTCCTTGCGCTCCCCAGCGGCTCCCTTCTCTTCTCTGGGGGTCCCCTGTACTTCCTGCTGCTCCAGCACCCGCACAGCCTCGGCATGCTGCCTGCGCAGCTGGTCCAACTCAGCCCGGAGAGAGTCATAGAGGGCCAGAGGGACGACCTCGGCTGATCCATTTGCCTCCATTTCATCCTTCTCAAAGTTCTCCAGGATCTGGAGGTGGGAGTGGGGGTGAGAGGAAGCCAGTGGCAGCTGAAGTGGCCGTGGGGGCACACGGCAGTCTTGCCACCTTCCCTGCCCATGGACTCAGCCACGTGCCCATCCCAACCCCCTCAGATCTGTCCCCGGCCCACAGCCACTCTACCAGGCCTTGGTTTCCCCACCTGGACCTTCTCCATCAGCTCCTGGTTCTGTCTGGTGAGGGTGGCCACCTGTTCCTGCAGCGAGGCCAAGAGCTCCTGGGCTGACGGGCTGAGCTGCTTGGAGAGCAATGTCTCGGCCCCTGGCAGCGTCACAGAGTCAGACCCGGGGGTCCCAAACCGCAGGGGATGGAAGCTGGGGTGCTTTGGGGCCCCGGGGCATGTGAAATAAATAACAACTGAGGGCCAACCTTCCTTTCAGCTTCAATCTCTCTCCATGCCTGTGGGCAGAAGCTCTGTCTCCTGGGACCCCAGGGACCAGGTGGGTGGGGTGCATGGGGGAAGGACAAGGCAGGGGCTCACCTGGAAAGTCGGGCAGCTCACCCTCCTCATCCTGCAGGGTGGCCACGTCATAGCTGGTGTTCTCCCGCTCATTCTGAAAGGGGGCCCAATGTCTGTCTTGGGGTCCTGCTCTCCCACCCCAAGGAACCCCCAGGAATCTAGAGTGGACAGAAATGTTCACGGGTTTATTTGACCCCACAAGCATCAAACTGGCTGTGTTTTGCCCACAAGTACTATATAGAGTGCCTACTGTGTGCCCGGGATTATTCTGGCCTCCCAGGAAAATTAGCAAATGGCCCAATCACTGCCCAAGTGTGTGACCACAACCCCAATGACTGGGGTTGTATGTGCAGCCTGGACACCTGGGACTGGGAGGGGGACAGTGGGTCCATCCTGGCGAGGGTGTGAGGTTGTGGGTCTGCAGTGAGCACATGTGTGTGCATGTGTGTGTGTGCCCTGTGCGCAGTGGCCCTTGCCTCTCCTGTGTGAGTTCCTGTGACGGTGTGATTCTGCCCTTGTGTTTTAGTCTGTTGTGTGTGTGTGGTTGCATTCTGAATGTGTATATGAATGTTTGTGTAATTATGTATTTTGAGAAATGTGTGTTTATATGTATCTGGGGGGGGTGTCATCTGTGTATGTGATTAAATGAGAAGTGTTTGCTGTATGCACATATTTGTAATGTGTGTGTGTGACTGTGCTTTCATGAATTTGTTTGTTGTCTGTTTGCCTGTTATATCACATGTATATGAGTGTGGCTGTCCATCTCCTGTGTATGTGAGTGTGTGTGATTGTGTGTTTTGGGAAGTGTCTTTTATGTGTGTGTTAGCTGTATGTGATTGTGTTTGTATGTTTGTTGTGTGTGTGTTTGCATGTGTGTGAGACTGTATATTAGTGTGGTTGACATGCAACTGATTGAGAGAGGCCCCGCCCACACTCTCCACCCCGCCTACCTCCAGCAGGGACAGCCGGCTCTGCAAGCTCTCCACCTCCCGTCCCAGACTCTCCTTCTCCTCCTGCTTCTCTGCCAGCAGCTGCTGTAGCTCTTGCACCTGGAGGGAGGTGGTGGAGGCTCAGCCGGTCTCCAGGAAGAAACACTGGGCAGCTGGGTGGCTGGCTCTCCCCGACCTTCCACCTACCTGTCTCTCCAGGCTGTGCAGGGAGCTGGCCTCCGCCTCTGGCAGCTTATGAAACAAGTGGGGACAGGACTTGGATCTGGGCTGGGGGCATCCCTGGCCCACCTCCTGCTAGTAGCCCTCTGTCCCAACCACAGAAATCTGCTGTGCATCTATTGCACACCCAGCACTGCTCTACCCGCCCGCTCACTTGTTACTAAGTACTTACTGAGTGTCTTCTTTGTGCCAGACCCCATTTTTGGCCACTAATTCATTCATTCATTCACTCATTCACTCACCCATTCAATATCTGTCCATCCTATAAATATTTATCAAGCATCTACTGTGAGCCAGGCACCATTAACTATGCCTTCCTTCGTTAGCTTACCATCGAATGGGTAAACATGAATAAAATACATAAATGTCCAATAACAGTAAGTGCTTTACATAAAAATAAAGGGCCCTTGGCTGGTGTGGCTCAGGTTGTTAGGTATTGTCCTGTGCACCAAAAGGTTTCTGGTTCGATTCCAGAACAGAGCACATGCCCGCGTTTCGGGCTCCTTCCCCAGTAGGAGGGCGTGCAGGAGGCAGCTGATTGATCTTTTTCTCTCCCCCTCCCTTCCTCTCTAAAAAAATATTTTTTTTAAGTAAAGGGAACTGAGAAGCAACAGAAGAGTGTTACAATCCTATATAATAGAGAGCTAATATGCAAATGGTCATCATGCCCTCATGCCCTCACACCATCACGCCTAACTGCTCAGACACTCAACACTGGGGAGAGAGGAATGGGGACCAGCCATTCCTGTGGCCCGGAGAGGGACAAGCTGCACGCCCCGCAGTCCCAGGCGCCAGTGGCTGCACCTGTGCCTGCAGCCTGGGAGAGGACAAGCTGCACACCCCATGGTCCTCATGGTCCCAGGCGCCAGCACCTGCGCCTGTGGCCTGGGAGAGGGACAAGCCGCCCGCCCCGCGGTCCTGGGCGCCTGTGGCTGCGGCACGGGCAAAGCGAAGCCGACCCAGGTCCTGGGTGCCTGCAGCTGGCCAGAGGGAGGGAATCCTGGGTCCCAGGTGCCTGAGACCGGCCAGAGGAGGGAATCCTGGGTCCCGGGTGTGGTGTGAGGCAGAGGCGGTTAGGGGCAATCAGGTCAGCAGGGGAGCAGTTAGGGGTGATCAGGCCGGTAGGGGAGCAGTTAAGGGCAATCAGGCAGACAGGCAGAGGGGTTAGAGGGGATCAGGAAGGCAGGCAGGCAAGCGGTTAGGAGCCAGCGGTCCCAGATTGCGAGAACCAGTCGGACATCCCCCGAGGGGTCCCGCATTGGAGAGGGTGCAGGCCCCGGGCTGAGGGACTCCCCCCACCCCTGCATGAATTTCATGTACCAGGCCTCTAGTTTTAAATAAGGTGGGCAGGGAAAGGATCTTTGACAAAGGATCTTTGAGCAAAAACCTGAAAGAGGTAAAGGAGGGAGGCTGGAGAGATCTGAGAGGAGTGTTGTAAGCAAAGGGCACAGCACATGCAAAGGCCCTGAGGCAGGATTGTGCCTGGTGAGTTGGAGGAGCAGTGAGGAGGCCCAGGAGGCTAGAGCAGCGTGATCAGGGGAAGAGGGGGAGGAGGTAAGGGTGGGGAGGTAGGAGCATTCTTCCCCTCAGAATTGCACCCCACCCCAGGCTCAGCCCCAGGCCTGTATTCCTGCTTGTTCCTACTGCTCCTTACCTCCTGCTTCCTCCGTTCCTTGTGCTGCTCCAAGCCCCGGATCTTCTGAAGCAGGCGGCCCTTCTCCTGTCGCAGCCGCACAATCTCCTCATAGGCATCTCGATCATCCTGTTCCCCCGAACCCAGGACCCCTCACTTTTACTTGAGGCTCAAGGGCTGTCCCGTCCCATACTTGGGCAGGAGCTTCCTCCCCTCACTCCCACCCCTGAGGGCCCCCCTTCTTCTCCACGGCCAGGGCATCTCTCACCGGCATCGGGGTGCTGGTGGGAGGCTGAGGCGCCTTCCGCTTCTTGGGAGCCCCCCGCTTCTCATGACTGGACACAGAGTTCTGGTGGGAGGGAGGGGGTGTACATGGGAGACCTGCTAGCCTCCCACCAGATAAGTCAGCCCACTGAACTCTGCCCTCACATCCCGTGTGACCCTGCCTGTCTGGTCCTCACTTATCCAGCATCAAAGGGGATGAGACCATGTTCCCTGAGAGCTCCAGCTCTTTCGCTTTACTTTCTGCTCCGCTCCGCGCCTCAGGACTTGGCCCACCTGGACCAACTGTCTCCAAGCGACACTTCCCTGGAGCTGAGGTGCTGCAACCCGGGAGACAGGAAGGGCAGACCTGCTCCTTCCCTGACTGCATCAGCCCTCACTAACCTCGCTGCCCCCCACCCCCCAGCCCCAGGATCTGACCTCATCCCCACAACGTCTCAGCCAGTTCTGGGGGTCATGCTGCGGGTGATGCTGTCACTTGGTGGCAAGGGTCCTGACAGGTCCTCCTGAGTCAGAACCCCGGGGCAGGGGCCCACCTCTTCCTTCTCTCCCCACAGAGCTTAGGGTGAGGGAGGCAGTGCGCACAGGGAGCGGGGCTGGGTCACTGCTTAGAGACCATACCTGGGACGATGCCTCCCCCGAGTCTTCCTCTAGGAGGGCAGGGAGAAAGAAAAGCAGGGTCAGGCTGGGTGTTCCTGGACTCCACCCCCCACCCTAGGAAGGGCATTAGTGAATCCAAGGGACTTGTGCGGAGGAGCGGGGAGCTCCTGATTGCCCAAGAACCAGAACTTTTAAGTTGGAACCAACCACGAACCAACCACGTTGAGGGGCCTTGAAACTCTCAAAAAGAGAGGACAGTGGCATCTCCAGGATGGAGCAAGTGGGACACCAATTCTTAGAAAAGGCCAAGACCCAAGAATAAAGATGACCCAGGAAAGCAGGGTAGACCTCTAGACTATTCTAAAAGCTCTGGTGCTCCTTGAAACTGTCCTGATTAGGATCAGGGAAGCCAAGAAACCTCCTATAATGCAGCACACAAGGATACCTTGAAACTATCCACAGAAGGAAGAGAGAGGGGTAGCAAGAAACTGCCTAGAAGGGGGGTGCCCGAAATTGCTTAGAGGCGGGGCTTGCATACCGCTGGGTGGAGAGGGGCGCTGGGCCGCCTCCTGCAGGAGGTGCAGGATAAGTTTGTCCCCTGCCAGGGTGCCGTAGTGAGCAGCGTCCTGGCCCAGTGCGTCGGTGATGCCTGGCTGGGCCCCTCCCTGCAGCAGCACCTCCACTGTCTCAGGGTTAGCCCCCTCACAGGCCAGCATGAGGGCTGTCCTACCAGGAGAAGGGGCTACTGAGAGGGTAAGGACATCCTCAAACCCTCCCCGCCTTCAACGCCAGCCTGGGTTGAAGCGTGCCAACAAGATCCCCCCACCAGACACCTTAAGAGGAGAGAGGCTCACCTGCCCTGCAGGTCCTGGTCGTTCACGGCAGCCCCCTGCTGCAGGAGGAGGCGGCACAGATCGGTGTGACACATCTGAGCTGCTATGATGAGGGGCGTTGTACCCAACTGGTGGGAGTTGGGGGAGGAATGAGACGTCAGAGGCTGACCCTGGGAGGTGGGGAAGCCCCTGTGTAACTGCCCCTGAGCTTCACCTGAAATGTTCCCGCACTTTTCGAAGGCTGCCTACCTGCGAAGCTACCACTTGGTGGCAGCATGTGTCAAGCCGTTCCGCACTTTTCGAAGGCTGCCTGCGAAGCTACCACTTGGTGGCAGCATGTGTCAAGCACAGTATCTTTCCCCTAAAGACCCCAGAGGCTCACCCGATCCCGGGGATTCAGATGTGCCTTGAAGGAGCAGAGCATTTCTGAGCAGGAGATGCAGCCACCAGCCGCTGGAGAGAGAGAAGAGGACGGGGGGTAGTTAGGGCAAAGCTTAGACATTTCCCGGGAGCCTTTTGTCTGAGTGTGTTTATCTTTAGTTCATGAGAAATTCCCACCTCTCCTGAAAGGTCAATAACAAAGGTATGAATCCATTTTACAGTTGAGGAAACTGAGGCCCAACCAGGTCTGTGGTCACCCATGGGGGTCGGAGGCAGAGCCATGATTAGGACCCAGGTCTGCTAGCTCCCAGTCCCAAGCTCTTTCTGCCTCCCATTGTGGTTCTCCCTGAAGGTAGAACTTGGGGCTGATTTTCATGTCTTTGTCCTCTTCGATTCACCTAGCATTTATTGTGCACCTACTATGTACCAAACCCTCTGTACAGAGAGTGTTACTGTTTACCAGAGGGATCAGATCTCAGCTGAGGTGTGGCAGGCTTCTTGAGGTTTAATCTGGGTTGTTTTTTGTTTTGTTTTGTTTTGAATTTTAAAAATATATCTTTATTGATTTCAGAGAAGAAGGGAGAGGGAGAGAGAGAGATACAAACATCAATGATGAGAGAGAATC